CTAGCTAAAATACTTTTTCAAAAGGCTTGCAAGCTTTTTCCCTGAATAGGTATGCGCCTATGCATACGATTCACTTGCTCTCGCTTGCGACAGGTGGTAAATAATCTCCTGATTATGTTAATATACCCTATATTATGGATTTAAAAATATATACTTATTACAAGAATTTACTTCATTTCTCAGCATATTTATGGTTTTCCTTTTGTAGCTATTGCCTAGCTTTATAAATAGACCTATTAGACATACAAGCGTTTACTATTAACTCTTTACCGACAGATCTGTTCTAAGGGTCTTCATTCTCGCGAGTATGCGTCCTACATGCCCGATTCGTATTCTCTTAAAGCCAAATAATAACTAGGCTAATTTGTAGATAGCAGTTGCCCACTATATACAATTTGAAAGGCTTCACACAGCAGTCATGTCAATTTACTTGATATCTTGCCACATTATGCTTCTTAGCATATTAGGGGAGGGCTTTATCACATGTAGTTTTTAAAGCCACTGTTAATGCGAGCGTTGCTAAGTCTATCTTACGCCTAGATCAATTACTTTTCAGTTCTTAACTTCCAGCCTACCTGTCGTAACTCATTTTATCACTAATGCTTTCGCTGATATTTGCCTAGTGCTCAGCGTAGTACTTCGGCTCCTTAGTTTCATTTTACCTTTTCATTTCCATCTCCATATTAGCCTTTTCGTGCTTAGAGTATTTATCAGAATGATTGTTGCTTGCTTCAACGAATCTCGAATTTGCGTTTTTAATACTTGTAGGTTATCTTTTTTGGGTAACCTTACACTCACTTGGCGTGGCCGCATTTCACTTATAAGTTTTCATAATAATGATAGCTAATTTTTTTCACACCAGAATACACGTTTAGGCATAAATGCAGTAATTTTAGTGTTTTTCCTGTAAATCCACATCTGTTGCTCCTGTATAAATGTTTTTGATCCATATATTAAAAATACAGCTTTCAAAATTCCGATACCTTGTATATTTTTATCAGAATTAAAATATAATTATTGCATTAAATTAAAAAAGCTGTTTCTTAGGATATGTAGCTACTTCGCCATATAAGACGAATGAATCATTAATGATTTCATAAGGATAGATGCCATTTTGAATAAAAGACTTGACTCATGATATATTAGTATACTTTATTTACGTCCTAAGCGTAACAATGACGAGTTCTAAAATTTTTTTCGACGCGGATACGTGGCTGCTAAGTAATTATTTCTTTCCTGAGAAACAACTGAATGATGTTATGATGTATGGGCCTTTTTGACATATTAAGTAAAAATTCCACAAAATGAAAGTTAGATGCTTTTATTTTGGCATATTGGCGGTTGCAACATTGATTACAGTCTTATGGAGTAAGTCACATAAATACAACACGAATTAGTCTACGTTTCGAAGATACAAGATTGATTTTTGTTTGTATCGACTTCTACCTCTATTCACCGATCTGGCAGCAATGCTAGCATGGCGAGTTGACCCTCGGTTGTTCATTTATATGTGGTCTGTTCGGATTATTTTCCATGAGCCAGTCAGCTAGCCAAAGCTGTAAAAAAATTCGCTAAAACTGGAGTATACGATATCCTCTTGAATGAGTATAAAAAGAATGAAAATATGGGTGTAATCACCCCGGGTGGCATAAGCTGAGACTGAAAGTTTTCATACAATCATGTGAACAGGCCTCACGATACAGTTTTACTCAGCTTTGGCCGCCAAAAATATTCTTGTAAACTAACGGGAAATGAGACATGGTAACTTGGTCGTATAAAAATCACACAACCAGTAATTCTTCACTTTGTTAGCACAATGGTAGAGCAAAATAACATAATCTTTAAAGAAACGGAGGCAAATCATGCTTGATACAAATAAACGTAATCATAAGTTTTAAGAATAGAATGGTGCAAAGATAGCAGATAACAAATTCAACTAGTGTTTATAATGGTTTTTAACCTAGCTATGTAGTTAACAATCCTATTTGGGGAATTAGGTAATCATATGCAATTTTCAAATAATAATAATAAATTAAGATTGCGGCCTTACGATTGGGTCCTTTGGCTTGTTTTTACAAACTTCAGTAAGGCCTTTTAAAAGTGTGGGATTGACGTTTCTTGCAAGATAGTCTTTTGCGGCGAAGCGTATTGGTATGGGTTCGATTATAGCTAAAAGTTTCAAGAATAAAACATAATAGTACTGTCAGGGAAGAAATAGCGGATCTCTCTTTCGGCAGATGAAAAGCTATCACTTCCGTGTAGAGCGTTTTGCTGGTCGTCAGTTCCGTATTTTGCTCTTAGACTGTATACAAAGTTAAATAAAAAATAAAAATGCCTCTCAGGTGCTACAGTCTTCGCCTTTATGGAATTAGTTGGGCCAATTAACTCCCTCCAGTATGAGATTGCATTTTCCTTAGCCATCACAAGTGCAACGATTGGGCCGCTGCTCATGAAGGTTACAAGAGAAGAGAAGAATATTTTGCCAAAATGCTCTGAGTATAATTCGCTTGCTTGTTCTGGTGATAACTTCACTTTGCGCTTCTGAATAATACTAAAGCCTTTAGAGAGGATAAACTCTTCAATTTCTTTTTCCTTAGAAATCGCGTCCGGTTTAATAATTGCTAGAGTTCTTTCCACATATATCTGAGGGGGTTGCATTCCCTCCATCATTGAGTCAGGCGCTTGCGATTGTTTACTCAACTTCCATAGTAAATAGTCATCACTTCATTAGAAGCGTATATATAAGAATAATAACTTTAAAAATTATAATAAAATGTTTTTAATCTAAAATATTTTTTGCAAGTGATAAATGCACTATTTTTATTATATTTATACTTTTTAATAACGTGGTTATTCATTATTTCTTAGAAATCTCTCCTATTATTAGGCTATGTTGCCTTAATAATAGCGACAAGAATCGCAATTACACTAATATATGAAAAAAAAACTTGGCTTCAAGAAGTTTTTTTAGATATATATTGTGACATGCATTTCCATTCAAGGGGAAATTCGGCTGGAAGGAATTCGTGATGT